TTCACGAATAAGACGAAGACTCGTCCCTTATCCCGTTTAGCCGCCATTGATTATTTGGGGCCATACCATCAGCTGTGCACATAAAAATTCGACACGTATACATGTATATGCGTATATATACAGAATACGGGGTAGATAAGCTTACTCGATTACACTTATCCACTTTTGATTGTCCACTGAAACTCCTCTCTCTCTCTCTCGAGGAAGAGAGAGGGGGAAGAATGATCGCACGTTGCAGGTAAAATTGCTCGACCAACGATTTTAACCACGTTTCTCACATGGCGATTTTTAGCAAGACCCCTTATCGATGAGCCTTCATTGGATATTCTTCAAGATTATTTTTTCTTCAGTGAAATGGATTACGAATTGTTCACTGTATACACTCCAATTGAATCGAATTCAAGGAAAATTGTGTATTATTACACATGATAGATATTGTAATCCAGCTCACTTGCGATGCATAATTTTTGATCTCCTTTCTTCGACTAAGTTTGTGCAGATTGGTATTGTTAGAATTATTGAATTTGTAATAGAAAATCGATTATTTTATTTGTTGTCTTAAAATATAAAGAAGATCAATGAAAAGTTAAATATTGGAAGGAAAAAGGAATATTAAGTATTTTATCTTGTGAAAATTTGAGGTATAATTCCCTTCCTGCTAATTTATAGAAATTAAGATAAAGACGATTAGTCAAACATATACAACAATTAACGAAATGTTTAGCAATTATCACTTCGATGTACAATTAAAAATCTATGGAGAAAAAAAAATTCCAATCTGCATAACCTTGGCCTCAGTTGCGTTTCAGGAACGATGTTGGAATAATTTTTCGTAGGGTTACGTGTCCATAGAAGCAAATCTCTTCTCAGGAATGATCGCAGATCCTCCTCGCAACGTTTATATAATTTTCACGAGAGAATAAATTGTGCGTAGCATTGCCTTAGAAAAGCTAGATAAAATGGAAGAGGATCTCCATTTTACCGAGATCCAACATCCACCGATCTGGCACACTGGTAGATTACAAAATGTAATGGTCGTTTCAGAAACAACTAACAACACTCTTAGCACCGGGACGATGGTATTAATCCTGGTGGGTGTGGTCAAAGGAGTCTTCATTTGTTTTGCACTAATGGCTGTTTGCTACAGGTACAGTAGCAAAAAAATAAAATTCTTGAGTGGGTTCGACCAACGCCTGTCATTGTCAAGTAATTCGTGGCTAGCTGGATGATGAGGCATCGCACGCGGCCATCAAATTGCTCTCATAATATTGACTCATCTTAGCCTTACTTAATCGATGTGTTTTACTCGTATATGTATATACATATATAAATAATATACATATTATATATATTTATATATATATATATATATTATCGTACTGTTTCTCTTCGATGGTGTGCTCTGAATGTGCTCGTGCTCGCATAGCGCGTTTGAATGATCACGATGAGATCGTGACTATGCTGCACGAGCGAGGGATCTCACATTTCCACTCGATGATCTCGCATACCAAGGGACGAAAGATGGAGATATATATATTGTACACTGCCTATATCGTTGAAGGAAAGAAGACGAGATATAATTAATTTTCGTCCCTTAGAGTGCGATATCTCATACACGATCCACTACAACGCCAATGTGCCAGCTGCTTGTATGCCCTATAAAAGCATGAATAAGGCTGATTAGCGAAGAAACGAACGTCGTCCCCTACGAATCGTCGGTCTCTGATCGAAAGAATCGTTGTGTTGAAGAGTAAACATAACCTTTAAAATACCTATAACGGATCGATTTGATCGCGTCGAATTCCCCGATTCGTGTCTTCGTCGATGTCAATCTGAGAAAAGTAGTTGGCAAAGGGTCTTTCGACTCGCAAAACACGACGAGAATATCTAACCTCTCTCTCTTTCTAACGTCGATAATCGAAGGCTCGATCGAAGCGAAGAAAGAGAATAGGGAAAATTGGTTGTCACATAGAATGAAAAAAATGATTTACACCCATTGTATCGAGGGATATATATATATGTATACGATATATTTTTGGCGTGATGAGTCGAAAGTATCCGGATATCGCGTCGATACGATCAATGGTGTGTACTTGTATAACAAACTACGTCTATATGTATTATGTATATGTGCTGATTCTGGCTTCTTTGTTTCTTGTCTGTTTCTGTCTGTCACTGCCATCTCTGTCTGTCTGCATGCTGTGGGACGCTCGGATACCAAAATATATCATCCGTATATACTCGCATCTGCGTGAACAATGGTATACTCGTTCTTGATTATCTTGATTCTTGATTTTTGTTGTTATTATTATTATTATTATTATTATTATTATTATTATTATCATCATCGGATCTCTCGTCCTGACGTATCTCTTTGACACGTGACGATCTCAAAAAACTGCGATAACTAACGATGTAACTAACCAACGTTTGATCGTCACAGAGAACTACCACGGCTCTAACACTGTATTTTTAGTTGGTGTGCTCATGTCGGTGGTAGGGGGTGTTTTCATAGTATTTGCTCTGATGGCTCTCTGCTACAGGTCAGTCGTAGTACATAAAAACTACTCCCTCTGTCTCAGGTTAGTGTGCAGAAACATACACGTAGAAAATTCTTTTGTATGCGTATATATATATGTATATATATGCACATATATATGTATGTGTTTTTTATTATTTTTTTTTTACGATCTACATACGTCGTACATATATATTTACATGTATATCTTTTAGAGTCCGTACTATTATTGTCTATTTCTCTTTTACGCTTATATATTGTTCTTTTCGTATTTTCTCAACTTTTTTTTTTCTTTTTTTTTTTAAATAATGTTTCTATTGTTTCTCTCTCTCTCTCTTTCTATTTCTCTTTCTCTTTCTGTGTATCTCTTTGTCCTATCGATAAAGCGCTCTCTGCATTATCCGCGCAGCAATAAGTCGCAATATCTCTAGCTTATGCGACCGCGCGAAAATTCAAACTCGTCGCAACGAACAGATATCGCGTTTCAAACGTTTCTCTACGCGATTGTCTCTATTCTAAATACGCTCATTCGAAAATGTATGTATGCACCTGATCGTTGCCACGATTACGCTGTATAAGCTGCTTAAGCGATTGCCGCTGCGAACCATCATCAGGTTCATTTGAATCGCTTTCGCAAAAATTGGCTCACTCGACGTGTATTACTCGTCTGCAATTGATTCAAAGCTTTTTGTGTATCGTAACCGTTAACTGATATCGATTAATTAGAACGGTCCAATATTTTTTTATTTTCTTTTTTTAACGAGAAACAATAAAAAAAAAAAGAAAAATTAACTTTGCCAAAGAAAAATTTCCGATCTGAACCGTGTTGGTATCGGTTAAAGGTTGCACCCGCGTTACAGCAGGGTGATCGCGTTTAATAAACCTGTTGATAAGAATGATTTGACAATTTTCAACTATCTATTCAATTCCAACTAAATCTAAAAAAAAAGAAAAAACATTGTATTCTCTTCACCCCCATGGAACGCACGCGCGTCAAGCTTCACGATTCTTCAAGGCACTTTTTTGCCCGTCTCTACGTCTTTGTCGTTTGATTTTGAGTATTTGAGTTGATGGGTACTGCAGCGGAGGACGATCTCACACGAGTGGCTCTAAGACCAGCTGCGGGTGTACCATTCGACTGGTTATCTATCTTTTGTTCTTACGCATGCGATCACCGCTCCCTCTGTAAAAAAACCTTCCTTCCCCCCACTCTCTCTCCCGTAGACGCGCTCGCTTCGCTAGCCAACCACCATTTCATTATAATGATTCAAACGTAAAAAATGTCCGGATTAAACGTATATCTTTCTATTAAAAAAATTGAACAATATATATGTATGATATGGCCATATTTTTCTCAGAATTTTAATTAATAATTATCGACAACTAAAAATTTACGTTAATTGTTATTTTCTTTTCTGTCATTCTATTCAATTGATTAATTCTTCAATTTTTCACGAACGAAAATTAACGAATACATTCATATATATATATACGTTTAAGCCCGACACACATATGTAATTACTATAGATTACTATCTCTTGTGGAGCACGCAATATTTCACACGATTATTATTAAACCTTTTCGAAGGGAGTCGACTTGCAAAATTCCTTTTCGTTCAAAATTTCGAGATCAATTTTGAGAAAGTTTATTATACACAGTTAGCCGAGGACGAGCGAAAGGAAAGAAAGACGAGCGAAACATGGAGATTCGCTCGAACGTGTCCCTCCCTCCCTCACTCCCTCGTAGATATTATTTATTTAGCATGCGCTTTCCTTGATCGTTCTTTTCTGTCGGTCTTTCACCGTGACCGCGGCCCACGCATCCTCGTAATCGGCGAATTTCTCGCAGAAGGAAGAGCACCGTCCAGAAGTACGACCAGCCGTACGTGAAGAAACCACCGCAGAGGGGTTACAGCGGCGTATCCGGGAACCATCACCCGGGACACGCCGTACTGGACAACGTGAACAACAAGATCCTCACCTTCAGCAGTATGCCTAATTGCAGGTACGACCGATCGTTTCGTTCCTCCCTCCTCCTGTCCTCCAAGTAAATAATAAATCAGGCTAGACACTGTTATATATTATATATATTTTTTTTTTTTTCGAGAAAACAATTCCTCCCCTCCCCATCTAACCACCTCGGTTAATTAGACACGCAGATTAGACACGATTCATCGCGATATTAGATTTTTTTCGATCTGATTTATATAATATATATATAGCGATTTTTCGATCTTTCGAACGAAAAAAAGAAAAAAAGAAAAATTGTGCATCAAATCTCTGGAGCGCAATCTGCAAACCTGTTTCTTGGTTCCTCTTAAGTTAAAGAAAGGAGATCAATTTTTTCGAACTTTCGAAATTGGAAAAAGTGAAAAAAAATTGAAATTATTGTTTATCCTCAAGGATAAGGATCATCAATTGTATAAAAAATTGTAATGAAAGTGGTTTTTTTTTCTTTCTTTTTTTAAAAATATATTTTTTTTAGGGGAAACGAGAAACGAGGTTCTTGAAATGATCCTTAAGCTGACACTTGAGTTGAAAGTTTATGGAAAATTATATGAGGATTATTACGTGTTGAAAGAAATACGCTTTTTTGAAAGATAATCTAGGGAAGACCCCTGCAATTAGTGTTGAAAAAAAAAAAAAAGAAAAAAAGAAAAAAGGATCCATCAACGATCGCCAAAGACACATATACGCTTCTATATACTTTATACATTGGTTTTCCATTCGATGTTTGCGTCACACGAATTCATGTCACACGGCATTCATTCGACATCAACAAGATTATTCATTTATTCGACGGAATTTCCGCGTTGCTTTCTTATTATTATTATTATTATACGTGGAAAAAATTTTTCAAAATCAAATTCACCGACGACCACGACGACGACGACGACTGCTTGGGGTGAAACGAAATATTTAAGAATTGTGCTCGCGCGTAAAATCTTGGAATATCGATTTTTTTTTATCTGAAAAAAATAATAATAATAATCGTACAATTTCGAATCTTTTCGTTTCATCCTGGCTCACCGAATTTATAACGATATGCGTAATTCTCGTGACGAGCCATCTTCCCTCGTTGTTCGATCTTTTTCTTGAAAAAAAAAAAATTCCTCCAATATTATAAGAAGAAAATTTTAAAAATTGTTGATCGAAAGAAATACTCGAGCGATTCTTTTCATCATTCTCGTATTTTTGCTATCTGTGCACTGTGTCGTATTATTCGAGAGAAAAAGGGGAAGACGACTCGTCGACGAGATAAGAGAATCTGAGAATACCGACACCGTCCACTGCGCGTTTGCTAGACACCTTTAACCTTCAACCAGTGACGTGAAAGGATTAAGGATGGATACCGAATATTCTTTTCTCAATTCTATCTTATATTGTTTAATTCAATAGTAAAGAAGATAGGCAAGAATTAGTTTATCATTTTTGAAGAATCGAATTGTAATTTTATTTTCTACTGATACATATTGACGAACATTAAGGAAAAGTGAGAGAAATAAAATTACGTAATAAAAAGATAATTAAACAAATGGGATAGATTTTTCAAACATCGAAAATATTAATCGCTCACGTCATCGGTTGAAAGGTTAACCCTTTGTGGTCGTGGATAATTTTTGAGAAAAACAATAGTTATATCTTTCTTCCTTCTCTTAAACTTACGCCTACAATTCGTGCAATACTATATCTAATCTAACGATACGAATCCAACAATACTCGTGATCCGATCCTATTTTTATCTACTACTAAAGCTTCTCTTCTTGTATTAATGGAAACGAGGAATACGCTCGTTCGGAAAATTTCGTCGCGTGGAATCCGACCACAAGGGGTTAAACTCGTGGTGAAATACCCGCGGCATGCCTATATTAGTATATTTCTAGCCGCGGCGAGACCCAGCGCGTGGTGTTTCGACCCCCGAATAACGTCGCCACCGCAGACGGGCCAAGAGTCAAGTAAGTCTCATGTGTCTCGCCGTTATGTCACCATTATAGTTGATCGATGATCTCAAGACTCGAACACAACAATAGTTCCAAGCGGGGCAGGCCAGCCAATCTTCGAAAAAATCGATTCGAAAAATCTTGGATGGGGAACGCGTCTCAATTTATTTTCGTATACTTTAAAATATAAATATAATAATTTTAAACTAAGCACTCGTCGCGATATCGATCGAAAAATTTATTGGTTATGCGATGTATAAGAAGCAAGAAGTACGTTGTAACATTGTGATTATTAAAATATTGCGTGTATTGCATCATTGGAAAATGATAAACTTGCCAAATCACGTGAAATTGTTACCTCATCGAGATCTTCTAGCGATGTTGCGTAACTCGTCTGCATCGAATTCGACTCGAGAATCGTTAAGAAATTAATCGTGACGTTTGTAAATTTAGAAAAGCTGTCCTGCCTTGTTTTCACACTTTGTCGAAGCGGTCAGAGATGCTCTCCGCTCGTGGAATGAGTCACGAATGTTGTCGCATCAGCATGGAAGAAAGATTATCACTTACGGGCGTTTCGCTTATTTGGATATCTTGTTCTTCCGTGCAGCGATAAATTTACACACATTACACACATATGTACACATGCGTGCAAATATACACTGTGATAAGACACATTTTTACCTACGTAAAGTCAACTTGTGAACATTGTGTAACTGCACTGATTTTTAGGAATGCAGCAGTAGCGATACATTTTGTACAATTGTTATAAAAGCAAACACAAAGAGACGATGAAGGAATAATCCTTTCGTTTGTCGCTAAATATTTTTTCGTTCTCCCTTCTTCTGTGGATTTTCAGTTGAAAAAAATGAAAATGTTCAAGATAATATTGCATAACGGCACGATGCATTTGGCCCAAATTTTTTTTTTACAACAGGGTGGACATCTTTCGATTTCATTCAAACAGACATTTGTAATAGATTCGGAACGGATCGGAAAAATTCGGATGAGATCGGGAAAAATCTCGATATATACTCATATACCTTCTATAGATTTCGGATCGCTTCGGCAATAATCGTTCGTAATCGGCTGAACACCTTATTAATTGGATTTCGGGCTCTCGAGCCGATCATACCCGATTAATGCCGAACTAATCCGAAATCAACTCGTGCTTATATCTCAAATATTTTACGAAAATCGAGATTTCACCCGATTTCTCCCGAATTATTCCGATCTATTCCGAAGTTCAAATATTTCTGAATCACAAAATAATCTCGCACAATTTTACAACCCCATATATATATACGTTCACCCATCCGTTCAACATAGGAATTATCATTTTCTGCAAGTTAAGTTTTATATTTTTCAGATTCTTGTTTATACTTGCAAAAATCTAATCGAAAGTCGAACGTGATTATTAATTTTCACGCGCGTACATCGCACATACGCCCACACGCTGCAACACGCTTCTGATTTCAGCAAATCTGATTCATCGTACTCTATCATTTCGACACGCACGCTATAGTCCAAGTAGAAGAAATTAAATTGCATGCATAAAATATTTTACACGCCACATCTTCTCACCTTGGCACTGCATGTTTTTCCTTTCGAATGCGCCGCACCAATCATCGGGTCTCATGGTTATTAACGAATACGTATTATATCACTTTATAAACGATATAATGAAGGATTTATCAAGCATGCCTCGTATGCTACTTACAGCACACGCATCCGTAGAAAAACCCCGATTGCAGCTGTTTAATTGTTTCGAAAAAAAAGAAAAAAAAAAAAAAAAGAAAAGAGAAATACTATCACATATTTTGCAAGCAAAGGATCAAACATAAAATTCCAATATACCGTTGTTCACTTGCTAATTATATATACTCAACGATCGAGCATGTTTGGATTCGATGAATCACGAATTGAAATTATTACATCGCGATCTTTAAAGCGCACGAATTTATGGGAAAAAAAAGAAAGAAAAGCACGTGTGCATCTTATCAAAATTCTCCGCGTTTAACCAGAGTCAAAGGAAAAGATACGAACTATTGTCGTGTTCGCGTTCGTGTCACGTTTTAATTGATAATTTCGATTGGAAGTGAGGCACGAACACGAACGTGACTATAACTACGAGACTGTACCGGTTTAAAGAGAGCCTTTCCCGAGTACGAGGGAAAAAAAAAAAAA